AGCACTTTCATGAAGGCTGGGGTTAGTTGTCACACTTCAGTGAATATTTATCGGGCTGGGTTATTTTTAAAAGGCTCTTTATTTATAAACCTTAAGAAAGCTAAGATTGGACTTTTGAACATTTCTATTGACATCATCCAGGAAATATACTGGATGGGTCTTTGATGTTTAGCAAAGCATGTTGTCATTTGATATGTGGTGAGATGCCATTAAATAACTTATGTAACATTTACAACTAATAGGAAAAAACAAAAATGCCAATTATCATTCTTTGTAATAAGGTTTTGTTTGTTTATTAGTTAATGCATTATATACAGTAACATGAACTGATGTTGAACAGTTTATTTTACACAAATAGATTAGCCAAACTTAAAGATTATATTATTATTATTATATATATATTATAGCTATTGGCTGCATATTAGTACTTATAAAGTATATCTTCTGCATAATCCTGTTCTACATCCCTAATCCTATCTAATACCTAAACCTACGTCTATTACCTCAATAACTATTATTGAATAATACTATTAATAAGCAGCAAATTAGGAGGTTTATATAGGCAAAAGTCACCTAATGGTTTATTAATAGCCATAATTTTACCTTTAAATAATGTAATTGATTGTAATGTAAGTTAAATTGACAATGAGGTTAATATGATTCAGCTTGAAAATACTACATAAAGAACCCACAATTTATTTTCAGTCTACCAGTTACTGATATACTAATATGCATTAGGCAATTTTTTAATCTAACCTCTTTCACAATACAAATCTTCTGAATCATGTTGAATTTTTTTAAATGCACAAATCTCTCTTGCGCGTTTTTGATGGAGGTTTAAAGTGCAGTTGCGGGTCGCGGTGAAGATGTGTGAGGGTGAACGGTGAGATGGCTCAGGGACTAAGCCTGCTCTTAGTCTGCCATCTCAGTCAGGAAAGCCTCTGCAGATTATCCTGGAGCTGACAGCAACCGAAATAGAAAGAGCCTGATTCTCTCATTTTCATTCGTCTACACACACACACTCTCACACACACACACACACATTCGTGCTGGCCTTTTTCTTAGTCTCTGTCTGTCTCGATCTCTCCCACTCAGTTTTCCTCCTGCTGTCATTTTTGTTTTATTCGCGCACACACACACACTCCTATATCCTCACATGGCTTTTGGCCTACTTATTGTATTTCTGTGTTTAGTGAACGTGTGAATGCCGTTGTGTGTATGCGTGTTTCACGACCGCACCTCATTGATTTGTGAAGAAATCGCCTCCAAACTCTAAATCCACGTTCCTTCCTTGGCTCAGCTGCTTTTTTGGTGTGTGTCTGCAAAATATTTTTAAAAATGCAGAGTTTCACACAATACCTTCATGTTGTCCCAACACAAATCAATTAAGTTAATTGTTTTTACAAATTTAAGTGGATTGAACATCAAACAATTAAGTTGTTTGAAATTAAAAGCAAAGAATTGTGTTGTTTCAACTCATTTTATATCCCAAGAGTTACAGAAACGTGCTTTTTGGGACCACCATGTGAGACCTGGACTGATGATTTTGTCTGTTTGCGTCTGTAATTTACCCTCCTTTTGTTTTTGAATATAATGTGCTTTTGTTTAACATACACTAAACCTAACGTAAACCCAGCAGCCTCGGGTCAGCGAGTTTAGGCTCGGCGGGTTCAAGAAAACTCTTGGACAATGCTGTAGCAAATGGCTGTTACATTATCAGACCCCAAGGAGGCTTTTTCTGCGTAAACCTGCTGACCCTGCGCAGGCACGACATGCCCGTCTGACTGTAATAAACCCCCCGTCGGGACTGGATGTGGGGGCCCGAGTCGCTCTCTCTCACCTTCCCTAAACACTTCCAGTCGCTGGATGTCGGTGTCTGATCTCCTGACTCCGTCTTGATCGTATTAAATCTGTGAAGCACAAATTAAAAATGAAAGCAGGAGAAATAAACGCTGAAATTCTTCTGCTTTGTTTTCGGGGGCTGTGAGGATGAGTGAGTCCAGGTTAACGGGGACAGTGGGCCTAAAGCCATGGGGGAAGGGCCTATTTTTTTCGGGTGCAGGCTTTAGTAATACTATCCATTTCAGATTTAAATGGAGCTTCCTGCTTCATAATCATCGTCTCCTTTGAGGATATTTAAAGCGTTATTACACAGAACATGTTTGCACTCTTGAACATATGTTCAGAAAATGTTTACATTTTATGATAGTTAATGAAAAAGAGCAGCATTTGAAAGATTTCAGAGAGTTTATTAGTCATAACCAGGGCCAGATGGAATCTGCAGACGTTTTTTGCTATTTCTGCGGAGAATTTTGGTAAAAATCTGTGGATTTCTGCAGAATTATTTTGGGAGTACAATAACTAAAACCTTAATATGTGAAATAAAAAATATTATCATTTTAACTTTTATTGAATGTTTTAAATGCAAATCCATTTAGATTCACTTTATTATTCACTGTCTCTCATATAATAAATCCACTAAATGACAGAAAATATTTCTGTACAAAGTGCATTGTACATAAATCAGATAAACATTTTCATATTAGTCAATAATATTACTGTAATTAATTTTAAAAAAAACTAAATAAATATAGATTTACAAACAGATTGTTTAAAACTGTTAATATAAAAGCAGTGCTAGCTAATAAATTTGAGCATTATATCAGCAAATGCAGCCTTTGATTGTAATCATTATTAGTAAATATTATTTAAAGGTAATTTAGATCAGATGTGCTCCAACATTAGGCACACTTAAATCAAGATTGAAAGCATATCTGCTTAGCTGTGCCTTTACTAAATGAACAGTGTGCTATGTCTGACAGATAGCACAAATATAGTTTTCTTTTCTTTCTCATTCCTTTAAAACCTATTTAAACACATTTTTATCCGGTTTCATTCTTTGTTTTTATTTTCTTATACTTGTTTTTATTATTCCTGTTTATGTAAAGCAGTTTGAATTACCATTGTATATGAAATGTGCCATATAAATGAACTTGACTTGACTTGCCTTGCTAATTGAGCTCTGTGTTTATTAGCAAAGATTAATAAATACTTGTAAAAAAAAAAGAAAAACATTGTATTGTTGGTTAATTTCTTAATCCAAGATGTTACCTGAATTTGTTTTAATTACCAGTTCTTAAAATAAAAAAAGTCTTTATTAGGGCTGCACAATATATTGTTTCAGCATCGATATCGCAATGTAAACCATCACAATAGTCACATCGCTAATATATGCAATGTTGAGTGTGTATTTGTTTAATCATTTGTGTGAGGGTTTTAAAAGCATTCAGGCAGAAGAAATTGTGCTGTTTTTAGCTTTGACAAATTATTAATGATCAAATCTATTGAATCATTTATAAAACATAGACTATGCAGTATTACATTTGATTATTGAATTACTGTACCTAAATACAGTTCGACTCCTTGAAATACAGTAAAACGCTGTTTATATATTTTGCATATTTTTCTAGTGTATTTATATCGCAATATATTGACCTTGTCGTAAAATGCCAAAATGTGCTCATTTTCGTGATTGTTTTAGAACTTCTTACTCAGTTGCCTACGGGAGAAATAACTAGGAAAAATAAAACACAGACAACGCAAACAAACTACTTACAAGCAAGTATATTCAGGACTAAACAGACAAAGTAGAATAACATATTATTAAAATGTATGAAAAAGCAACGTGACAAGCTGTTTTTAATGTCTAATAATGAATGGAAATGACTGGAAGACTTGAGCCAAAAAGGTTCAAATGTTTGCGCCCGCTTGTATGCGAAGAATAAGGTGAATATCGCAGAATGAAAATGTTAGATTTTCCCAATATCGAGCAGCCCTAGTCCTTATCATATAATTTGTTTATATTTTTAAATGATTCATATTTAGTTGACATGCTGTGTATTACTATGCTTAATTATGAAATGGCTTTTTTTTGTTTTTCTACAGTAGGATTATACATTAAGTTTTAATAAGCTTATTTATTTAATCCACATTAAATGTTTTTTTTATATATAAATGAGCTTTTTAAATTATCGCATCTTAAAGTTTTACCAAACATGTTTCAATTTACCATTTGTTATAAAAGAAAATTGACAAGTAACATTTGTCTTTAGCATGTCATCTAACTTAAACTATGCTACATTTAAAAAAAAATGTTTATTATAATGTAAAACTAATTACAAGATATTATGTACAAAATATGTTTTGCATTAAACGTTACTCATTACAATCATTTAATCCAATCAACTTTATTAAATGAACTTATTATAAAGTGTTGTGCATCAGTTACAAAATAACATTAACAGTTCATATACAGTCACTTGTATAAATACATATATGTTTATATTTAATTTATTGATGTTGTTATACGATAAAAAAATTTTCAAACTTTTTTTTAAAGCCTTTGTTTTTTGCCAAACATTTCACAGAAAACGATTTCTCGGATGTTTGGACCCTTTCATTCTTCAACGTTCAGTATAACTAAGCAGTTATGATTTCTAAGACAGCTTATTTATTTGAGCAATAACAAGGATAATGGGCTGGTTTGCGTTTGTGCTGACTCGAGTTTTCGATCTTTGTTTTAGTTGAATGTGCTCTGTTTGTTTGTGGTCAATCCCAGCGCACTGTTGTGTGTCTTTCAGGAGGAAATAAACCCATAACGCTGTCGGCCACGTTCATTCATCCACTTTTAACATCCTCCTTGCTATAATCATTACTAATGTTGGATTGATCGTCAGCAGCTGTTTTGCTTTTGTGAATTGTGTACCTACTTCTGATCATGTATTGCTTTTATTAATAGCTAGACTAGTCTCCATGCTGCAATAAAAAACACACAGGGATATTTTTTTTCCAGGTGGGTTTTTTTTTCATGGTCTGCTGTTTATTTAAGGTCAACTGTAAGTCTCTCTAAACAGATACAATGCTTGTCTGCCTGTAAAAGTTTTGGTACAACTTTAACAGTTTCTTTTCTCTCTCTCTCTCTCTTCTTTTCTCTTCTGCAGTACATAACAAATCATCAAAGCTGGGATTAAAATTTCGTGAAGGAGCAGCTTTGACTGCTGGAAGACTTAAGCGTATTAGCTTTAAAACCAAGATGGGAGTTTCAAGTGATGTATGGCAGACTTCAAAGATGTTTTAATCTGTCGGTAGGCATGCTCTTGCACAGCCTATTTATATTAGAACACAGTGTTTCTTCTGCCTGCACGTCCTAATCAATGGTTTCTCCGGCTAGACCCAGGCTGATGGTGATGTTAACCAGTTATTAAACAGCTGCACTTCCTCAGCTCTGCTTTCTCTGCTCTCTTTTAGTGGCTCGCCAGAAGCTGATTAGAAATACTCAACTGTTTTGTCCCATTGTGATGAATATTTGATGATTCAGTGGTCATAACTTGACTTCTGTTTTGCTCGTAAATTATGGCATATGTATTAGGAAACTTAAGAATGAATGAATGTCTTTGAATTATGTCAATATACTCACGGCAATTCGTAACTTTTTGATTTAGTGGCTAATTGATTTTAATTTGTACGATCTGATTCGTGTAATTTAATACAATTTGCTCATCCCCCAATGACAGTTGAGTTTAGGGGCGGGGCTGAGTGCCACGCCACCTTTTTAAAATTGTACATTTTGTACGACTAAACTCGTATAATTAGCCACTAAACATGAGATCAGGCTGATATTTTAAAAGGTATCAACTATTTGAAAGATGTATTTCATTTTTTTTTGTATTAGTTTACTTTACATTTTCAGGTAATATGATAAATTACAGCTTCAATTGGACTCGTGTTAGTTAAAAGTAGCTAAAAGCTATCTATCTCCGGTGTTGTGATTGGGGACATTTTTAATCAAAACCTTATTAATTGATTTTTTGCATATAGTAAAGAAACAATGTTATCAATGAGTAATGGTGCTATTCCTTTAAGTTTAACTCATCAAAATAATTCAATGAATTCAGCTCCTTTTTTTAGGTTCGATTTAGGTTGTGTGTTTGAGTCGGTTTAATAAAAATGAAAATGACTTAAAATGAATTAATTATGCCAACTTAGTTTGCCCTTAAAAGGGCATCTGTTGCATTTTGGTAGGATTTAATAAGGAAAGACTATGAAAGTAAAACACTTGGAAGATAATAAGTTACAGATCCTTTTAACAAAAAATATTTGACACGTTTATATAAAGGTAATTCTTGAACTACGGGCACTTTTATGTCCTTTGATCATATATGTAGAGTTATTGATGTTTGCCCTGCGCGCTTGCTTTATTTTTAGGAACTTCTTTGGTTTGGTGCGTCAATCTTATTAATGCTATTATTCAAAAAAGGTAATGATTCACACTCAATTAAGGAAGGCTTTGTGCCGAAACGTCTGTGTCTTTAATGACCCGTAAAATGTAAGAAAATAAAAACAATACAAAGCGATTTAGTGCGAATCATTATCTTTCTTTAATCATATATCCAAAAATATACATAATTTTGTTCAAATTCCTCTTTCTTTGTCAAATTAACAATAAAACCTACTTTAAAACATTTTACTACCTTTCCATTATATTTTTTTCATATTATTCAACCTCCTTTTAGGTGTCAAAATCACTGTTTTCACCTTGTCACACACCCAGAGTTTAAAACTTCAACAGTAAAAATAACATTTTAAATGACTATGTATCTGGTATCTCTTATTGTATCTTAATTAAATAATTTTAATATTTTAAAGTTATTCATGTGAGAATATTATCAATAATATTATTTATACAAAATATAGGTGTCACACAGTATCAGTGTCATTTCCACCACAACACTGTAATATGGCTTTAAAAAGTTTGTGTGAAACATAATTTTTTTGATTTCTATGAAAATGAACAGAGACATCTGGGAACATGTTTAAGGGAATTTAAATTTTTATCAGTAACACTTAAAGAAAATCAAGATAAATATTTCTTGTTAAGGAAATGCATTTATTTTACGTCATTTCCAAACATGTTGTACCTTCAAAGATGTTTTTAAAAACCAAACACAATTAAGGTAAATAAGAGTGTTTTGTTTACATGAAAGGCTATTATCAATTTAAAGCTAATTTGTGAAGCTATTTTCCATTTTTTCTCCACAAGTGTCATTTCCATCACCACACATTTTTAAAAAATATTTTTAAAAGTTCTCATCACACATTGAAAGTGTAATCACAATGTATAAGTTCATGCTCTATTTAAAATACAAAATCATTTTTTTTATTTTCTAATAAGCTCTTAACTAAATTAAAATAACATTTTTGAGTGTGACAGGTGTACAATTCAGCATACAACTAATTTATATCATTGACAAATGTATAATTATTATATATATTGTGGAAAGATTGGTTAAACTAGAAACAAAAATGATCTTAGACAATGTTTGACTGCCATCATTTATTTCATTTTGAAATAAGCTGTATATTGAGATGTTGTGGAAATGACATTTGTTCAGTTCACGATGGAAAAAATGTTTCTCTTCTTATCTAAGTTTGTCCTCTTACAGATCTTAAAACTAGACAAATAGTTCAAACTTATGTGTTACACTAATTTTGAACAAGTTTTTTTTACTCAACTTCACAAGGCTAAAAGTGCCCCATAAATATAAGACTTTTTGTATCTGTGTAAGCAAACACCTGTATGAAGCTGATGGAAACTGACTTTATACATTAATTAACATTCATTCACTCATTCATTTTTTTTCGGCTTAGCCCCTTAATTAATCCGGGTTTGCGACGGCGTAATGAACCGCCAACTTATCCAGCATATGTTTTACACAACTAATGCCCTTCCAGCTGCAACACATCTCTGTTGGTGAAACCGGAGCACCCGGAAAAAACCCACGCGAACTCAGGGAAAACATGCAAACTCCACACAGAAATGCCAACTGACCCAGCCAAGGCTCGAACCAGCGACCATCTTGCTGTGAGGCAACAGCACTACCTACTGCGCCACTGCATCACCTAATTAACATTAGTTGATAAGTAAAATAAACTAAATAAATAAATAACACCACATTTATTTATTTATTTATTTGACATGGTCTTCACAATTACGCTGGACAACCAAATGCATCTGTTTAAGTGTTTTAGCACACTTGCTAATTCTCAACACGTGTCCATGACAGGCTTGACATAAAAGAAAAGAAAATAGATACATATACAGTATACAACATTATAATTCTATACATAAAATTGCTGTAAGGCAAAAAACAATGGTGGCATGATATAACAAACTAACAGTTGCACATTTGTGCAAACACTGCTGTTTTGTTTTTGACCAATTTTAAAGGACACTACTAAAAACACTTATATTACTTTCTAATTTTAGGCTAACAGGTAAAGCATTCAACAGTTGGGTTCCCTTAACACAAAAAATAGATTGAACAAATGAGGTCTTATACTTGACAGTCTAGAAAACAGTCTAGTCTCCATTAGCAGTTGCTCGTGTACATGTACAGGTTCAAATACTTTATTGAAGATATTTTAAGGTTAATTCTTGGAGCATTAATTCTTGTTAGATTAATATCCTTCTTATATCTAATTCATATTAGTTAATGTCACATTAGGTAATGTTGAATTACATCAATCAAACTGTACTTTTGAGTAACTAAAACAAAAATATTAACACTTAATTAACTTATTGAAAAAGTTCAAGTTACAAAAAAGACATTTGTTGTGATGATTTTTGTAATTTGTTCTTTTTACAGTGTTAGAATGAGGGTTAGATTTAGTTGTATGTACAGTAGTTGTGCATCATTTGACGTTATTACTATAGTACTGTAAGTGGAGGGCACATTACACTGTAAAATAAAGTTACAAATGGTCATGTTGTTGCAACAAAAAATCGCTACAATGTATCAAAGAGATTATGATCAATTATCAGGGGGAAATGTAGCATCCAGAACACAGTACTATTGCCTGTAAGTTTTACTATAGAATGCCATAGTGACATGGAAGATGTTGTCATTATGTACGAAATTTAAAGCACCCCTGCTTTTTGCGATGCACAATTTTCCATTTATTGATTTATCCCAAGATAACCTGAAGGATGACTTGGATAAAAGAAGTACAAAATCTAAACTTATTTTATGAGACACATATTGTAGGTTTCAAATCTCTCTTTAGGAATATGGGTAAATTTAGTTATTATAATGGATTTTTTTTTTCCGTTTTTTGTTGCAATTTACATGATCAGTCTTAACAGTAAGCTTGAATTCATATTAATTCATTAATTCAGGAGTAAATTTTATGTTTCAGGTTTATATACAAAAATGTTTAATCAGTTTTTAAGGTTGCAAAAGGTTCTAACTGGCTGTTTGCAAGTGATAAATATTTCTATTTGGTTATAATTATGTGTTTCTATGAAGATATTTTTTTTATTACAAATTATTTTATCGCTCTAAATTTTAGTTTATCAGAACATTTAATTTCAAAATGTTCCAAATTCCAGATTTTCAGTGTGAACTTTTAGTCCCTGTTGTGTAATGAAACTTTAATAATGCACTTCTTGTTTTGATTTTGTGCTTTTTTCCACCCCTCTCTTTCTCCCCCGTGAACTGTGTCTGTTCTGTGGATTGGCAAACATTGTTCATAAGCACTATTTTTATATATGCACACATGCACCTACAATTGAGTTGAGCTTCTCTCAGACACACTTTTGTTTAGAAATGTTGAAATAATGCCTTGTGCAAACACTTACAGTACAGGTACTTTGAACAGAGATCAGTGCTCTGTTCTTCTGGGCTGAGGCTTTTTTCCACTTTGAGAAAATTCATCTGTTTATGTTTTTATTTTGTAGCCATTCTGTTGTCAGCAGCATGACTTTCTTACCGTTGCAGAAGTTTCAAGAGTTTTTATTGAACTTATTCTAAAATGCGGAAGTGCGCCTGTTTTCGCGATTGTCTTAGAACTTCCGTTTCAGTCACCTATGGGAGAAATGACTAGGAATAATAAACGGCAGAAAATGGTCAAACTACTTGCTCTACAAACAAATGTTTGCATGACTATACAGACCAAGTTGAATAATATAACAAGGAAATATCAGTTTGCAACATCAAACAGCGAAACGAGCAGTTTTTAATGTCTAAAAATGAATGGAAGTGAACGAGACCGGAAGTCTTGTGCCAAGACTCAAATGGCAGCGCCCGCTCGTCCGCGGAGAATAAGGTGAATACTGGAAAATGAGGAGAAAACGAAGACAAACATCTCAATATTGAAAAACACATCAAGTATCTTGTTTTCTCACAACAGCAATATACTGCTTAATCACAGTGAAAATCACATTCCACCAGTCTGAAAGTGTCACAAACTGTTGGAAGTGACTCCAGCGTGGTTTTTTGGAGCTGAATGTTGCTGTGTGTTGGTCGGGAATAGTGATGTCACTCTCCCTCATTTAAAGTGAAATGTGCCAGTGTGATTTCATGCATCAAGGAGGAATTTGAATGTGTTTTCTGTGCTTGGCTATAAATAGCAGATAACAGCTCTTTCCAGATCCAGAAATAGGTTCTCTGGAATTGGATTCCAAGCCTCGGAGCACTTTCCTTTTAAACAAGCAAATATGCAGGACATGCATCACTATGTAGAATTAAGAGTGCCATCTTTAAACTGAGCTGTTGCCCCCCGCCACGTCTGCAAGATGAAGACATCACACAAGACAACAGCAGCCTTGCGAACAGACATGTGACATAATACTGCTCTTCAGTATAACCAGTGTGTGAATTATACATCCAAACACAGGGAGGGGTGGGGGGTGGGGGTCAACCTTTTCCATAAGTTTGTGTTGGTTTCTGTAATGCATGCTTCAATGAAATGTCTGTATTTATTTAAATGACATCTAATATATTAATAAAACCTATTGAAGTTTTCAATGTTTTGAGGGATATTTAGTGTATTCTGGCCTACAGTCACCTCTGATGAGCTATTTTAGAGGTTACTGTTGGTCAAACTATGCATCTAATGTTACTTTATTTTTAGGATACATATAGATACAAACATTTATTCATTTTCTTTTTCGGTTTAGTCCCTTTATTATCTGGGGTCGCCACATCGGAATGAACCACCAACTTATTTAGCATATGTTTTACGCAACGAATGCCCTTCCAGCCGCAACCAATCACTGGGAAACACCCACACACTCTTGCATTCACACTCATACGCTACGGCCAATATAGCTTATTTAGTTCAACTATACCACGTCTTTGGGCTGTTGGGGAAAGCGGAGCACCCAGATGACAGCCACGCCAACACGGGGAGAACATGCAAACTCCACATAGAAACAGCCGGGGCTCGAACCAGCAGCCTTCTTGCTGTGAGGCGATTGTGCTACCCACTGTTTCACCGTGACGCCATTATGGAGTGGTCAAAAGTATAATTACATTTTAATATTTTAATTAATAATATTATTTAAGATGCAGATCAGAGCAAACTATTTAAAGAGAAGACCCCCCATACATCTGGTTTTGATTTGCTTCAGGGG